TGTAATAATTAACTGAGTATTTATGGTTTATTGATGTCAAAATATCACACTGAACCCTAATCCAGACTTAAATACACACATAGATGTATATTTCAGTCTGCATTAGGAAATACAATCTGCAAAGATTTGTTCTTTTAAGTTATTCAAATGATGTGAGGTCAAACAAAGTAAGGTCATTGGTTTGAGATTAATTGTAGCGAGGGGCCCAGTGATATAATACTTTCTTGTTTAACTTATTTTTTAGTTAAATTATTTACAAACTAAAGCCTCAACGTTAATATTAAAGTTTCATTTTATATAAGTTTTTTATATAATTTATATACAAAGGTGTGAAAAATTTTAAGACCATTGTCGAAAAAGTGAATTTTTCTAATATTTCTTATAAAGACACACACACAATGTCATAAAATGAGCCTAGTTCAGTACTTTGTGGATGCCCCTCCTCTAGCTACAATAAGTTTTTAAACCTTCTTAGACATCCCATCAATCAGTCTTGGACACATGTCTTGTATTTCTGGATCATGTGTCCAAACCTCTATGAGTGCCTCAATCAATGCGACTTTTGTTGTTAGCTTTCTCTTAGCAATTCTCTTTTTGACTATCATCCATAAGTTTTCAATCGGGTTCATATCAGGTTAATTACCAGTCCATGGTAGGATAGGAACATTATTACGGTTCAAAAAGTTTGTAACAGAGCGTACCATATGTCGTCTTGTTGGAAGATGAAACCATCTTGTTGGATGCAACCACCATCAGGAAAATGAATTGGAAGCTGAGGTAGAAGTTTTTTCTCCAATATTTTGATGTATTGATGTTGATTCATTTTGCCTTCAACAATTCTAAAGGGTCCTACACCATGAGAACTTATTATCGACCATACCTACTATTACTGAGGTAGAATGCTTGACGGTCTTCACCAGACATTGCAGATGAAATTCTTCCCCAGAACGACAGCGCATATACTGACATTTACTGTCGAGTATATCGAACATAGAGTTGTCACTGAAGCAAACCTAAAAATACAAACACACTGTAAAAGCCTTGAGCATACATTAGATTAACATCCTTTAATCACTGGTTACATATCACTTCATTTTGCATTCATGCAATAAACATAACCATTGCTACAATGTTCGATACCTATGGACATAAAACAATTGCACTAGCAGGTAATGTATAATATTAAATATCATTATTATATGAAAAAATATGTTAGATTTTGCTTTAACTTAAATTATGTGATTGTAAGCTCTTATATAAAAATGGTAAAGGGTACAATACCTTTCTCCATTATTCTGTGATCCAATTTTTGTGATCCATGGCACACTGCAACCATCGCGTTTGTTGAGTATTGGTCAAGAGCGGTTTTTTGCGTGGTTAACGTGCTACAAATCCATCTTGTATCAGACATCTCCGAACACAACTTGTTGAGACATTGATCTGGTGCTCCTGCAGCACACCCTGGAGCTGCTTGCTGGTCATTCTTCTGTTTTTTGACAGTTTACAAGCAGATCCCATCTTGCACGTAGCATCATGACTGGTTTTCGGCCTAAAGTGGAACATCTTGGAGAGGATGTAAAACCAAAGTCCAATCGTTACTTGATGGTAAAAACTGCTGTTTTACTTAGGCAATTTCCTGTTGTGAAAATGTTTCCAACTTTAATAATGCTTCAACTTTGCCTCGCTTTCTAGGACTAGGGTCAACAATTTTACCCATATTTAGAAAATATAAAATAATCTAACAACAAAAACTTCTTAAATAATCAAAATCACATATTTAAAATCAGAAAAATATTAAACTATCACTATCAACAGCAATAATCTAACAAATATTCACTTAAAGGTCATTTGAACCATACATATTTACTTGTCCGCAACTTATATTTCACAAGACAAAATATACCAAATGTTCACTAAAACACATAATTCTACAATAAAAGTTAACAGATTCAAATTCAAATCAATAATTTCAATACTCAGCCACACCCACAGGATGTTGATGATAAAATAAAGCAGCGCTGCCACTTTTTTAGAATCTATAAAGTGGTATCAATTATAAAAAAGCCTTTTTTCTGTGGTCTTAATATTTTTCACACCACTGTGTATGTGTATATATATATATATTATATATATATATATATATATATATATATATATATATATATTTATATATATATATATATATATATATATGTACAGCTCTTACTAAATCTGCTATAGTAAATATATATAACTGCAAATGTGTGTTTAGATAACATCTCTGATACCACACCAAAATAGCTTGTTGCCAGGGGCTTCAGTACATACATTGACTATGTATGTAGTAGCATGTTGCTGCAAAGATTGATGCCCCTACATTGACTGAGGGTTTGGCATGAGGCAGCAATCTTTTCTTTAATTCTTCTCCTTTTTTTTTTCTTTTTCTGAAAACACCATATACTATAAAAGTGCTGTAAAAAAACCCAAATAAATATTGAAATACTATTCTTTTACCCAAAAAATTTTACCCAAACCTAAACCCTCAGTTGATACACTTCACAGCACCTAATTAAGTCAGTATCTGAGTAAAAAAGTGATAATCATATAGCTAGTATTTAGTTTGAGAATGATTTATATCAAATAATTTAGCCTAATAACCTGCCAAATCTATTCATGTAAAATAGATAACATAAAAAAGCATTTTATAGTTTTTGTTTCTACATTTATATACTTTTGTACTTTACATAATCTATTTATTTTAACAGATATTAGTAAATACTAATGCTTAAGTCGTTTAATGCAGTAATAAAAATGTATTAAATATTATCATATATAAAATGATTCATGATAAGTCTATATGCCTCACCCTACCATTTCTCAGGCTTGGTCGGGAAGCGGGAGCGATCTCTCTCGAATACTGACCACGGAAATAATATTTAGTTGCGAAAAACTGGCCAGGTTTTTTAGTCATTTTAAGAACATTTCAAAAAACAAAAAAAAATGCGCAAATAACTAATTGGACCAATTAATTGGAGACAATTACAAAAAAAAAAAAAATTAGAAAAAGAAAATAATCTTTTAACGCGAAAAAACTTTAAGTAAAATAAATTACGTTTAGAACAAATATTATTGAAACATCGCTCTAATTTTTTTACAAAATTAAGTTTTTTTATATAAAGTAACATCTTACGATTGTTTAAAAAGGAAACAAATGTTCTTTATTTAACAAAGAGTGTAATATGATATTTATTTATATACTCGTGTCTTATTTCCAGTACTAGATTAAGAAGGGTTAGATTTAGAGAGGATATAGCCCTGGGCCTTGCAATGTTAGGGCCCCAAAAAAGTCAAGAAGACCTTTTTGTTTAGTCATTTTTATGCTGTGGCACATACAAAGGCATCCAAAATAAAAATCGCCTCTGGCCCTTAAAAATCTAACAAGATTCTAATGAAAAAAAAATGCAAGTTTTATCTAAGCTAAATTATTTTATAAATAAAAAAGTTAATTTTTTTAATACCTATTTTATGCTTCGCGTAGTTTGAAAAGTTTAACATATTTAAAACAATTCTTCTTAGTAAGATAAACAAATGAAATATTTAAATCATTGAATTACTACAGAAATTAAATTAACTAGATAGAAATCAACTAAAAAGGTTAAAAATACTTTATGATGAGGAAGCCAAACTGCTTCACAATATTGCTGATGATATTTAGTAAGTGGGCTTTTTAATTTTAATTAGTATTTAAAGCAGAAAAAAGTATAAGGAGTTTTTAAGAATGGCAACTTGAGCGAAAATAATTAGAGTTAGTAAACTAATATCTAGAAACTTTTTTTTATATCTAATAACTTGCTGTATATATGTGTTTTGTCGTGACCTCAGGCACGGTGCTTGTTCATCCGTGAGTTACTTTTAATGCATTGTTTGTGTTCAGTAACCAGAAACTTCTTATATGCTTCTTATATGCTTATATAATTAGTTTTATTAACTTTAATGATTATTATTAACTTCATTGAAAACGCAATTATTTTTGTAAGTCTTTGTTTACAAATTAAATCATAAAAATTGCTTTAAAAATTTCTAAAACATTTCAACAGAATACTCTAGAACTTTATTTCACTAAGTCAGTGTATTTTTTGAACCAATAGAATTAGTTTGTTTGTTAACTTGACGGGTTTTTAGTGTTTGCGAATATTCTTTTTATTCTTCCGCACCAAGATGTTTTAGGAACATTTCAATTTATTATGTTTCCATGTATGTCCGTAAAACAAAATTTTTTTGTTCCGTTCATAAACTTAAATGTTTTCAAAACAACTAAAAAACCTGGCCAGTTTTTCGCAACTAAATATTATTTCCGTGGTCAGTATTCGAGAGCGATCGCTCCCACTTCCCGACCAAGCCTGAGAAATGGTAGGGTTTAAAAAAAGTTGCTGAAAAAAAACACACCCTAATATATATATATATATATATATATATATATATATATATATATATATATATATATATATATACACATATATATATACACATATATATATACATATATACATACATATATATATATGTATGTATATATATATATATATACATATATATATATATATATATATATATATATATATATATATATATATATATATATATATATATATATATATATATATATATGCATATATATACACACACACACACACACACACACACACACATATATATATATATATATATATATATATATATATATATATATATATATATATATATATATATATATATATATATATATATATATATATATGTGTGTGTGTGTGTTAAAATAAGCAAAATATATATATATATATATATATATATATTCTGCTTATTTTAACTTTAAAATGACAATTTTAAAGGTTGACCATTATTTATTCTTTATCTAGACACTTTTGTATTATTGGTTAATAATAAAGAAAATTAAAACTCAATTTTCTAAATTTTTAACATTTGAAACATTTTCTAAATTTTTATGAACATGTGTATAAAGACAAATTAATAAACTCACTGTAGGTTTCATAAGTGTTATAGCAGCACTTATTTTTTTTAATTCTTCCTGTGATAAATCAGACATACTACCGGTTTCTTCCATAGGTTTAATTCTAACTTGTAGCTTTTGTTGACCTTCATCATCTAATAAAATAAAACTTGTAAAACCAACATGTTTAAAAAAAAAAACTAATTAAAATGTCTCCTATAAAAAAATATAAAGAATATATTTGATTAAGTTATAATTAATATTGATTTTATAACAATTATCAACAATAATAATATAAAGTTTCTAATAAAGTAAAATGGTAGATAAAGATCATCTTAGGCATTCTATGCTTTGTAAAATTTGTGTGGCAACATGTGAAAATGACTATTTAACTTATATTATACTAGTTAGACTCAAGTTTAGAATCTTATTAATTAAAAAGCTAATTAAAAGAATCTTATTAATTAAAAAAATTCAAAGACTTTGCTAATAATTATAAGAAGACTGGGGAATAGTAAGATTATTTATTAGAAGACTAGGCAATAATAAGATTAGTTAAAGGTCAGAGCAATCTCTAAATTTTTTTAAAATTGAAACCATGGCAATACCATTTTCCAGTTGTGAGGAAAACGAGATTTAGGTAAAGCACTTGTTAATTAGTTTAGTGAGAAACAATGAGAGTTCTGGAAAACACTTTTGTAAGACTAGAATGTTATGGACCACATAGTGTAGGTGTCAAGTGGAAAACAATATTAGTAGCAGAAGCTGGAGTTACTTGTGTGGCTAACAACTAATTGAATAGTTCAAGAGACAAGTTAAAAAAAAAGTTTTTTGCAAATGGTTCTGCCATATCCTTGGCAGAGGTAATAAGTTAAGATCCATGTATTAGAGATGGAATGCGTTGCTGAACATCAAATTAACTCTGAAGTTGAAATCAATCAATCAATTCATATATTCTGAAATAGTTGTCACATTTACGGAAGTTTACAAATAGTACATGTACTAATCTTAAGTAAAAATCTTGTAAATAAAAGCTAATAAATATATTGATTAATGCAAATAGTAATATTAATCATCCACAGCAGTAACAAAACGAACATTAAAAGTTGAAGGAGTAAAAATACTACTAATGATGATAATAATAAAAGTTGTAGTTGTAACAATAATAGCAATACAATGATAAAAGTAAAATGATTATAATAAAAACAAAATGACAGAAATAAAAATAGTTATAATAATCATAAAAAAATAATAGTAATTAAGTATTAGCCACATAAATACACACATATACAGACACATACAAATACACACATACAAACACACATACACACTTACGTTCACAAATACATATAAACACATACACTTATATGCCCCTGTATTCAATACAGGTATGTATACATTAATTGTATATAAACATAATATACACCCATCTATGTAGATTCATACATACTATAAACAAATATACGTATATACACACATGTGCATATACATACACACATACATAATCACACATACATACACATATACAAACATAAATACATATACACACATTTAATAATATTATATATGTATATATTATATAAACCAACACATTATCGCATACACACACACACACACACACATATATATATATATATATATATATATATATATATATATATATATATATATATATATATATATATATATATATATATATATATATATATATATATATATACTTACATACACATACATATATACACATACAAATATATACAAACATACCCATCCATGCATACATATACACATACATACATATACACTCACCACTTATTCACATGCGCATATCACAAACCCTTAAACACAAATACATATTTATTTATTAACTGTATTTGAATAGGAAAAAACGAAATAGGTTATTCTGAAAAATATAGATTGAATGGAGAGCTTTTAGGTCATAAGGAAGGTTATTCCAAGATTTTAACAACAAATAAAACAAGCAATTATACTCTTTGTTTTAACAATACATAGAAGCTACAAATAACCATTATAGTTAACAGTTTAAACAAAACATGGAAGCTACTATAAAACTTTTTAATTAATATTTTAAACAATACAAAGAAGTTACCAATAAACTTTTTAACTTTTACCTAATTTAAAACATTTTTACAGCACTAAAATTTTACTTTATTAGATAATTGGTTTGGAGGTAACCTGTTACATCATCTTATACATATTTGCTGCGTCAAGACAAGAAAAAGTCTTTCATACATATCAAAATTTAAAGAATATACATTGGATAAAAATAGTTCCAAAATAAAAAACAAAATTTTTAATTGCAATAATGAATAAAAAGTAAGCAAACAGTCAATAACAAACAAATTGAGTGATCACAAAAATGTGTTTAAGTAGGTTTTAACTGAAAAATGAGAAATGAAAAATGAAAAACTAACGATCATATATGATTCATTATTATTGAAGATTTTGATGTGATCTGACAATGAATACTTTACAAACAGCCCAAGTCAATTCAGAAAATTGCCAACCTAAAAGTGGGATTTTTTGCCAAACTTTAATCTATGCTGATATGGTAAAACATTTGTGTTAAAAATTTTGGAATTAAGAAAAAAAACCTTTTTTTTTAAAAATCCAGAATTAATTTTATATATATATATATATATATATATATATATATATATATATATATATATATATATATATATATATATATATATATATATATATCTTTTTTTTATTTATATTATATATAAATAAAAAAAGATTAAAGTTGGATATAAAAGTTATATTGCTGAATTTATTAAAAAATTTAAAATCTAAATAATTTAAGATTTTAACAAATACTTAGCAATTCAATTCATCATCTTAAAGAAAATAAAAAATAGATTTGACTCAGTAAAACAGTAAGCTAAACATATATATATTTATAGACACACACAGGCATACTTACCAGAATCTGAATCTGAATCTGATGAATTACTTTCTTTTGAAAGTTTGGCTGAATTGATGCTTACAGAATCAACTGGTCGAATAATATAACCTTCAGCATCTAATTGTAATGTAGAGCCCTATATAAAAAAAAAATATTTTTTAAAAACCTAACTGTTTAAATACTTAAATATATAAAGAATCAAATTATTAGGAATTAAAAATAAATTTTGAAATACTGAGAATTTTAAAAACTTTGGCATAGAAGTGTTTAAACATGGACTATTTTTAAAAATTTCTTTAGCTAAAAAAAAGTTACTTAAGATACTTTTCACTATTGTTTCTTAAGCGCAAGCCTAACAATTTTCCTATTTCGAAAAATTATTTTTTTGAATAAAAAAATCAAGGACTTTTTTGTTTTTATTTTTAATAAATTAATATTTTTAATATTAATTTATTAAAAACAATTTTAAACACAAAATTTTTTTAATGTTTAAAAAATAAGCAATTACTTTAAAAGCAGGAAAAATAATTCATATTCATATCTTATTAAAAAGTTTTCACCAGAGAATTATCTGGTGATATGATATGAAATAATAAATTATATAGTATGTCATTGTTGATCTTTTTGTTAAAAAATCGGTTTTTAGATCATGTTTATTAAAATACTCATCTTTACTTCTCTATTTAGCATTTCATTTTATCAATATTGTCTTACAAGGTTTTTCAACAAAATGATATGAGTAATTGTTCTTTGACTAGTTACTTATTTAATATTAAAAACTTGTTTAAAGAAACAAGTACTTTTTATTAAATACAGTAAGAATTTAAGTTACAAAGTGTTGCATTTTTTATTTTTATTTTTTTTATGCTGAAATGTTTTTTGTGGTAAGAAATATTTTCTTAAAATTTTTACTTTATGAAATGAATGAGAAATAGGTAATTAAAGAATTTTATTTTATAAATGCAATAACACTGCATTGCAAAATGTAAAAGTTGTTAAGTTTTATCTATTTGCTTTTGTTTTAATGGTTGTTTTTTTTTTAAGTTTTATTTTTATAAATTGAAAATAAATTTCATTTGTCAACATTTTATCTCAGAAATAATATTGATTAATCATGTTATAAACAATACTGCATAAGTCTATTTGTAGATTTTTTTTTTTTTAATTATACTTTTTTATAAATTGTTTTAAAACAAATTTTTTTAAACAAAAAAATATTAATATTGTTTTAAGTTAAATCAGTTTAAAATGAGTTTGAAGAAGTGAAACAGTTTATAATAAGTTATACAAATATTAATTTTGAATAACTTAATTTTTGTAATTATATATTCTATTAATAACTGAATTATGATTTTAGAATATGACTTAAACAGGATTGTGAGCATTAATTAGGATGATTTCTAATCAAATTTTTTTATTATTAAAACTTAATAAAGAACATTAATAGTAATAGTGTAGTCTGTGGCCACACTAGAAGTAGAAATAAATCACAAGTAAAATTGTTGTTTGTTATTGAATTATGAATTATAACAACAAAATTTGAAAAGAAAAAAATTTTAAAAAAACTAGTTAATCATTATATCAATAAAAAAATCTTGACTCTCTGTTTGCACTTTCTTAACTCTCTCTTCACACTTGCTTAACTTTCTGTTCACACTTTTTAACACTCTCTTCACACTTTCTTAAGTTCCTATTCACCATTTTGTAACTCTTTTCTCAAACTTTCTTAACTTCCTGTTCACACTTTCTTAACTCTCTCTTCACACTTTCTTAACTGTTCACCCTTTTGTAATTCTCTTAACAAACTTTTTTAACTTCTGTTCACACTTTCTTAACTCTCTGTTCAAATAGTCTAAATTTCTGTTCACATTTTTTTAACTCTCTGTACACACTTTCTTAACTCTATGCTAACATTTTAATGAAACTAAACTTGTATAATCTAATATTTAATTTTAAAACTCAAACAGAATTAATTAAAAATATATCAGAAGAGTTGATGATATTAAAAAAAGTTTAAATTAAGTATTCAAAAAACGCAATATAAAAATCTGTAAAATCCATAAAATCAATACACAAATCATAAAGTCAGAAAACCCTTTAAAATAAAACACTCATTTTTGAGTAACAAAAAGATTGCAGCATAAAGAAGAATTTTATTGTAACTTCCAGGTGATAAAACCTTTAACTTAGTTCTTTAAGAAGTCATTTGTAGTTAAGTTTGTAGCTCTACCACTACACCACTACCGCATGACTTAAGAAGTCATGCGGTAGTGGTGTAGTGGTAGAGCGCTCGCTTTATAAACGAGTGGTTCCGAGTTCGATCCCCACCACGTCCCTGGTAGTACCGCGCTCAACTCGTTTCTCCGCGCAGCGGCCTTGCTCGTCAAGGTTCGTGTTTCGGAGTTATAGAGTTGAGAGAGGGTTATAACCACAAATAAGTAGCCTCCTCGTCTGTAGTGGCCTTCTCGGCCTTGAGGAGGTGAACTAAAATAAAAAAAAAAAAAAAAATTTAAAGTTTTTTAGTTAAATACAGAAAAATATTTAAAAAAGAGAAAATTTATTCGCTGAAATAAACAAAAAAAATATATATTTTTTCTTTTTTTTACAGTGAAATTTGAAAGAAGTTGTTAATAGTATAATTTTTCTATTACCTATGTTTGCAAAATTGTTAACATAAATGAAATTCTTTACTATCATGTCAAAACAATTGAAAAATCTGATGGCAAAAAAAAAAACTTTGGCTGACAAGGCTCCTCCATATTAATATTAATAAAGACTTAAAAAATAGTGCAATAAAACTACTACTTAAAAAAATTTAACAAACTTATAAATTATGATAAAAAAAAAGAAATACCTCCTTATCACTTGATGCTTCTTTTTGTCCTTTTTCTCTTAAAAAAAAAGAAAAAGAATTACTTTAAAAACAGTAAAAATCATTCACATTAATTCTATAAAAAACATTAGTTTTCACCAGAGAATACCCAAGGCCAATGTCAATATGATTACATGAAATAATAAAATATAAAAATGTCTAGGAGTACATAAAGTTATCATTTAATATAAAGTTATTTATAATTTATATATGCATCTAAAGAAATTTATATATGCAACTAAAGAAATTTATATATGCATCTAAAGAAATTTGAAAGTTCTGAACAACTTTTTAAAAGTTTTCTAAAAATCATGAACTACAAAATTTTTAATTTAAAAACTTTTTTGTAATGCAAAATACAAATATTTTATAATTGCTAATTTTTTTTATATCTTACTAGGCCCCAACGGGCAGCTAGCAATTCAAATCATTTACCTACTCTACTCTACTTATGTCTTGTTTCTGATCCTAGTCAGTGCTCTGTTTCTCCACAGGTGCTTCTGACCATGGTTGATCATGGTTGTCATAGTTGACCATGGTTTGATCTCTCTTTGAACGATAATCTCATTCTTCTCCATTATTAGAATCACCATTATCATCATACCTATCATTGTATCTCTTACAACTTCCTTAAAGCTGACTGGGACTCTTTCCTTGATTTCTTTGTTATGGCCATTAGGTAGAAATCTTTCATCTTTCTGCTGACAAATGTGCTTCTTGGATTCAGGCTGGCATGGAATCATTTATTCCCTCTCAATAATTCCAAGTCGAGCATCACTCTTTTCCATTGTTTTCTTCTCATTGTGCTGCTGCAATTTCCAATCATAACCATTACTTTCATATCTATTGCCAAAACAACTCTCCAGACAACAGACATTTGTAAAAAGGTTTTGTCTAATGCCAAAGCCCACAATTCTCAGGTCACAAAATCTTGTATTTCATTTCAAAAATTTTGTTCCAGAGACTTCTGGAGAATTTTTAACAGTGTCTATAATAAGGGAAATCTGTTATTCCTCCTCTCTTGCATGGTTCAGACTTTGATACCTCACCTAAAGACAAAGCTGAATTTTTTGCTAAGAACTTTTCATCAATATTATCTCTTGATTCCACTAATTGCGTTCTTCCTGATATAGTCAAACAGGTCGATCCATTGCTTGATATTCGTATCACTCCAGCTTCTGTATCTAAAGTGATTTACTGCTTAAACTCTTCTACAGCTTGTGGTCCAGCTTGTGGTCCAGCTTGTTCTCTTTTCTATAAATACTATAATGGGCACTGCTCTAAAAAGCTAACGCCTTATGTGTCATCTACTAAAATATATTCTCATGTTACTCGTCATTAAATAAAATCTCATTCTTTTACTGTGCCTGTTCCTTAGTGATCCAAATATTTTTATTATTCTAGTTTTTTTCCTTGAACATCACTTCATTTTGTTTTCCTGATTCATATAACTTGCAATCTTTTAAGTAATCTGTTAATCAAAATCTTGCTCTATAAAATTTCTCTTCCAGTAACTTCCAACTCTAATAATGGTTGCTTACAGCCTTGTTGGAAGTGAAGATGTTTAGATCTGCCTTACTTTGAGTACTCTTTTTAAAGAGATCCCAATCTCCTGACACATGTTGTGTTCATATTAAAGATAATGTTAAAAAAAAGGTTTGAACCAAGTTTTTTTGATTAAAAATAAATAATGAATGCATACCGAGAAAAACTAACGTTGTTGTTTTAGCCAAAGCTCGCCTTCTCCATTTTTTTCAATAACTTGGAGTCTTTAAATTATATGTCGCAATCTACAGACTTTGGCGATTCCTTTGAAGCGCGTTTAATTCATAAAAGTTTTATTATTTGATGTCACGGTAGACTTTTAACAAATGAAACTCTGGAAATATTTTTATTTATTTTTATTTGAACTTTTTTTGATTATTTGTTAAGTTTTTTTTTTCTTCTATTTTCAACATTTAAAAAGATATTAAAAACCTCAAATATTTTATGCTGGTTCGTTGCTATAAATTGTTATTGCGCCATATATTTAATGTTTATAAATTATGAATATTTATTATCTCAATCAAGACTCTGATAAAAAATTGTTTTACATTAATTACCCTTATAAAATTAGTAAAAGCATTTTTACTTGGTTAGATAATATTTCGTCTCAATTTGCTTTGCATGAAGTTCGGGAAGTCAAGCGAAAAAAATTAGTTTGAATAATCACTTTGAAATATATTCAAAACAAATTATTTTAATGACGGGGGTTTAAAAGTTTTTTATAACAAATGTAGGTAAAAAATAAATAATTAAATAAAGAGATCAACATTAAACATCATTTCTTTATTATATTGCAACTGTAAATATTGAAATATTAACTTGAACTAAATTTACTTATTATTTAGAATGACTAAGCAATAAAAATAAAAAGCCCCTAAAATTATGCGATATTGCGTTGTTTATTTGATAATTGCTGTTGGTAGTGTTGTTTATGTTGGTTATTTTCATTAATATCAAAATAGTCCCAGATTAATCTGTTAGTTGCTTTGTTCATTGTTGCTTTATTTCTAATTTAATTTTATCTCTAAGTATAAGTTTAAATTAAGAAAGAAAATTTTTTATTTCATCGTTCCCTCTTTTTATAAAAGAGTAGAACAAAAGAGAAAGAAAAGTTTCGCGTAATTAAACCTCGAATGAATAAAAGAGTTGTATAGAATTTTTTTTTTTTTTTTTTGCGTCACTCGTTCTTTTTTTAGAAATGAGAAATAAAAGTTTAATAGTTTACTAAACCTCAGAACTTTTCTTTGAATAAATGAAAATTTGAAGAGAAAATTGCTTGAAAATTTGTATTTGTTGTGTTTTAAAATTTTTCATATTAAGAGACAAATGCCAAATACAATACAAATTGGGAAATACCAAACATATGTTTTTTAACGCGCGTTTTGACATTTTGACAATTTAAATTACCATTTATCTTGAATTATTGCCATTAATTAATGTGTTAATTAGTGCGTTATATAAAAATAATTTGTCCGTATTTTTGTTAAATACTAGTTGTATAAAATGGGCAAAAATATACAAACTTCATATTTTTATTTGATGGTTATAAAATATTGAACAGTAAACTAATAATCAAAATTTATAATGCCGACTTGTGTTGTTATTAATTGTACTTTTAATGCAAAACCAAGATCTCACAAATCCTTTCACGAATTTGCATATTTGATACTACTGTCAACTGTATTGTTTAGTGTATTCTTGTACTTTTTTTTCATAACCTTAACATGTTCTAATTGGTATGGAGTTGCCGACATTTTAAAAGTTTCATTATCAAAAATCAAATGTAAAATAAAATGATATTTCCTTTTTATCCGTATCCAATTTAGCAAATTTAGCAATTTAAAATAAATCAGCGCAATCAAAAAATTTTTATAATAAAAAAAGTTAACAAATCATCATATATCTCTAATTAATACTGTCAGTTTATAAAATTAATTGTTAATACTTTTTCGACGGGAAAACAAAAAATATCATAGCGTAAAAACAACCAGAGAAGTTAGAAAAAAGTTCCCATTGTTTAAATAAAAATAAGTAAGATTCAGAATATATAATACTGCGCTCTCTTGCACAAAAACAAGAGACCGTATACATAACATTCTATATAATGTAAAACACTCGTATGAAAATCATAAGATTTTTAAGTAAAGCTTTAATATTTGTTTTAATTTAAACAAAAGAAATATAAGTAAGATCTATAAATCTAAAAATTATTAAGATATTGGTAAAAAAAAAGTTCCTCTTATGAAACAAAAAGCTTTTATTATTTTTGATTTTTGCAAAATTTTGTTGTAAAAGTTGTTTTGCTGTATGTAAAAAAATTTTTTTTTGAATTAAATTAGAAAAATGCAGCTTTGTTTAATTACACTTTTCTTTTGTTAAAAATTTACCGTGACATCAAATGCTAAAACTTTTATGAATTAAACGCGCTTCGAAGGAATCGCCAAAGTCTGTAGATTGTGACGTATAATTTAAAGACTCCGAATTATTCAAAAAAATGGAGAAGACAAGCTTCGGCTAAAACAACAACATAAGTTTTTCTCGGTATGCATTCATTATTTTTAATCAAAAAAACTTGGTTCAAATCTTTTTTTTTAACATTATCTTTAATATGAACACAAAATGTGTTAGGAGTTTGGGATCCCTTTAAGTATTTAGTAACGACTATTTTTTGATAAAAAAACAGAAGAAAAACACTTTAAAAAAGTGTTTACTGTATTTAATTTAATTTATTTGTAATTTGTGTAATATAAATTAAATTTCCAATTCTGTTTTCCAATTAAATTTTCAGTTCTGTAAACAGGATATAAAAGTGTGTTTAAAAATAACAATTAGGTAAGAATTAAATTTTAAAAAGTATAAAAAGCTCCATCTGCACTAACTTGACCAATCTGTACTAACTTGACCTAACCAATGAATCAACCCAATCAATGAATTTTTATCATTGAATCTATATCTCCTAGTTAATCATTTAACCCTTCCCTACAATTAAGTAGATTTTATTTGTGTTATGAAAGTATTTTATAAATACTTTCATAACAAAAAATGACTTTTATAGTAAAAGGAGCGATATTTTATGTGGTACTGTAGTCTGCCCTAATATATAATATTTATGTGGTGTTGCGGTCTGCCCTAATATTAGGTGGAACTGCCCATATATATATATATATATATATATATATATATATATATATATATATATATATATATATATATATATATATATATATATATATATGTATATATATATATATATATGTATATGTGTGTGTGTGTGGTACTGCAGCCTGCCCCAAAACTAAGCAGAGTTGCACATATATATACACTGTGCAACATAATGATAAGACACCCAAAAAATATTTATAAAACTCTACTATACATTTATATTTAAAAACTAATTTTTATTGTAAATGAAAGCAAAGGGTTACATAACACTAAACAAAAAAATTAATTTTAATCGTAACTCACATTTTATAA